GAGTGTCTGACCACGTACGATTGTACCAGCCTCATGTTGTCTATTGTAAACTGGTACCAGTTTTCGCATGGAATAAGTTGTATCTGTGTTTTCATATACCCCATGTACGTCTCAACCTGCTGCTCGTGTGGAGACATTTCTTTTGCAGGAGCATTGCAGATTTTGACCAATTCATCGGCACGGGTCAGTAACTGCAACGCAAAACAACAACAATTTTGGTTTAGTTAATTATACACTATACTATGCTGATATTAAGTTATCAAACAAAGCATGTGTCCATTCATTTTCTTTCAGAATTGTATGAATAAACAGCAAGAAGTTGCAATTCAATAAAATCAATTTGTCACTATATAATAATGTATCACGACATAATAACATAAAAAGCAATTTTAACCTTGCCGAGCACCTCAGATTCTTTAGTTTTAGTAGCCTTGCATTTTGGCCTGCTCTTGTTCTTGACCTTTCCCCTGGTCCCAGCTTCATCAGAGATCGAATCTGTGCTAACTGTCTCCATGGCATGAGGAGCATCTCCCTGACGATTATCCTCCTCCTCCTCTTTCTCATCATCGTCATCATCACCACCACTGGGTATGGCCATGGAATCTGATGTCTTAATATCTGGGAACTGCAACGTTAGTTATAGATTTTAGCATTCAACATTTTGGCAATTTAGGGGTTTCAAAGGCTTATTTAATCGATTTTAGAGTCTACTAATATGTAGAAAATACATATATTTTTTTTTCTCCCCGACGACTTGTGCTTTTTCTCCCCGACTGGAGGGAGAGGAAGCTCTCCCTGGCGCCCCCCTCCCGCTAGCGCCACCCCTGTCCAAGACAGTGGAGGGCATGTCTCGTTAATTATGAATACTTTTGTTTATTTTCAGGTTTTCATGACACAAGTTCGAAATGGTTTTTGGAAATGATTCCTGTCAAATCAGCTCAGATTGCCAGAGGAGTTCAACTTATTGTAATCGAGACATATAACATTGCATGTGACTAAAATACTTAGATGCGAACATATCTACATGACAATGAAACCTAGAGTTCATCCTTTTTTTGCTCTTTGGCTGTATTTATAGACAATACAAAAATATTTTACACTTTGAAATGTTAATCTTTTTAAACATGCAAACCCAAATAAAAATTCCAGATTGTTTTTTGTATTTTATTTGTTTGTTTTTGTGTGGACACAGAAAAATAATTACAGATGATTATTTTTACATTAATTTTGTCAAAAATGTTTTTTGGGGAACCCCCTAAATACGCCACTGATTAAAACATTTTGCACAATTGTAAAACGTATTATCTACCGTATATGTCAGTAAAATAAAAAATGGCACTATTTTTTGTGCATTTGTAAAAACTAAATAATTAACAGTATGTTATTTATGCATTGCATTTTAAAGCACACCTTAGCAGTAGGCCTGCTTGGGATCCGGACAATGTGTTTTTCCAGAAAGCCAAAGGTTTGAACTACCCATGCATCACGGTCCGACATCAGTTGTGTCCCTTGGCCAGACTTTCGTTTAGTGATCTTGCCCACCTGGGACCTCATGGAGTCTAAAAACATTTTCAACTGCTTGTCTGAAAAAAA